TGATTTTTTTCATGACTGTTGAGCTTGAATGGTATTTTAAGTCATCAATGGCTAATGTTTAAATATGTGAACTTATTTTTAGTGACAATAATTCACTTTAGTATAAATCTCATGTGTGTTGTTTATTTCAGCCTCAGTTTGATACCTTGTCAACATAGTTTTTTTCTGACTGTTGAGCTTGAATGGTATTTTAAATCATCAGTGGCTAATATTAAAATATTTTAGCATATTTTCATTCATAATCTAGTTTACTTTAGTATAAATCAATATTATTTAGTTCAGCCTCAGTTTTAATACCTTGTCAACATAATTTGTTTCTGACTGTTGAGCTTGAATGGTATTTTAAATCATCACAGGCTGATTATGGATAATATTTAAATATGTTTGCTTTTGTATTTAATTTTAGAAAAAGAGAAAGAGAAAAAGAAAAAGAACAGCAGCAGCAACAAACACGCACACACACACACACACACACACACATACGCACGCATGCACGTTGCGCATCGGCGATAGCCCAAGAGAAGAAAAAAAGAAAAGAAAGTTACGCACACATAGCTACAAAAGTTTTTTGTGTGCATGAGTTAATGTTCTAAAGTTAGTGGCGTGTGAATGACAAGAAAAACCGTATCAAAAGAAAAAAGAGAAAAAGAAACTTTGCTACGGTAATAACGAAAGTCCATATGTTTTGGTCGCAACAATAAAAGAGAAAAGAAGAAAAAAAAGAAAACAGAGGTAACAACAACAACAACAACAAAAAAGATATCTCAATTGTTGAAGTGCAATACACCATCCACAACAACAATAACAACAGCAAAAAGAAAAAAAAAGTACCTACGATGTAAGGTGAATATGTTAACAAAAGAAAAACAGACAATTTTGTTTTCCGATCGATCCATTCACTAAGTTCTGACGAATAATAGTTTAACAAGAGAAAAAAAACCGAAAGAAATAACAACAATCATGCAAAAGAAAGAAGAAAGAAAGAAACTGTTCTAGGAAAATGTGCTTATACGCTTGTTGGCTTTGGACTAAAAGAAGAAAATGTTAGGAATAGCTTAGAGTGTTGAAATACGCAAGAACAGAGTTCAATTTTTCTTTTTCAAATGTCAATTTAACCATCTTACTGTTTTGGAAGAGTGGGAAAATCATCTGGATTATCAAGTGATAGTGCATTTGGATCAGCATTTGAACGACCTCCTTGACGAAAACCACGATTAGAACGACGATATTCACCACGACCACTACCACGTTGTCCACCTCGATATGACTCATCATATTGTTGGGGTGATAATGGTTGGCCTTGATTTGGTGAAGTAGCTAATAAAAACCAAAAAGATATTTAATTTTGTTTTCAAACATCAATATTTACATCTTTGTTGGTCATCACGATTTGGTCGGAAACGATTTCCTCCTCCACGACGTTGTCCACCTCTTGAGCCACCTGAACCACGTGGAATTTCAATTGGTTTAAATCGAAGTGGAATTGTAATAAGTTTTTTCTTTCCACTCATATGTTCTTCTTCAGCTTCTTCACCACTTTCATTTTCTAAATAAATTTATATTAACAATACTAATACTACTACTACTAATAATAATAATCAAACCTTCAACATCACTTCCTTCTTCTTCTTCTTCTTCAGATTCTCCATCATCATTTTTTTTACGGTATTCATGGCCTAATACTTGTAAAGATTTTGGATCTTCACCTTCGCCAGCAACACGTGTTTTAAATTGTGGTAATTTTTCTTGATGAGCGCGTTTTTTAGCTTCAATTTGTTTTTTATATTCATCCAATGTCATTTGTTTTTCAGCTTCTTCTACTTGTTGTGCCCAATCTTTTGATACTGGTGCTGTTTGAGCTGTTGTTTCGGTTATTTCACTAAATTTTAGAAATTAATTTTAAAAAGAAAAATTATTTTGCAAAATTTTCTTACTCAGAAATTGGATGTTCTTCTGGATTTTCTGTTGGATTACCCCAGTTATGAGCACCTTCACCATCTTTTTTCTCAATTGGTTTAACACCACTATAAAAATAAATAATGAAATTTTTTACTTAATTTCTATCTTCTTAACTTACGTAACGAACGAACGTGGTTGACGATCATATTGACGACGATTTGCTCGATAATCTTCTTGGCCACCTTCACCACTTTCACGATCACCGTAATTGCGGAATCCTCGACCACGATAATTACCTCGTACATTACGTCGTGTATTATCTGCTTCAAATGGACGTTCTGATGGTGATACTTCTTGATCGAATTCACGATTTGATTGTGATCGAGTATTGTCGAAATTTGATCTATTTAAAGAAAAAGAAATGAGTTCAAATGAAATATAATAGAAGAGATATCCTTAATATGGTATTAGTCTCATATATAAGCTTATTTTTCAATAGATTATTATTTGATATTCTATTAAATCTTCAAATCTAAATAAACTGTTCTACTTTAATATAGATTGAACTAGTCTCTACCTTACAAATATCTGTACGTAAGCGCTTAATAGTATTATTTCTTTATTTATTAGTAAAATATACATACTCAGAAGTTTGTTGCCAGCCACTTGTTTCTTGTTGTGAACCTTCTTCTTGACTTCGGTTATTGAAATTTCCACGTCCACCACGGCCACGACCACGACCGCCACCCATACCGCGACCACCTTCAAAATTACCGCGACCGCCTTCAAAATTTCCACGTCGTGGTCCACCTCGTCCACGTCCACCACGACTTCCTTGTTCATTACTCCAGGCATCTCCACCTTGGTCAAACGAAGATGATTCATTTGTCGAAGATGGTCCTTGTCCTTCGAATTTATTGAAACGTTGAGAACCCCCTCGTCCACCGCGGCCAGCACCATCATATGGTGGTCTACCTCCTCTTGAACCACCGCGAGAGCCTAGAAAAAAAATTTATTTACATAGGAAAAATTCTATTTATCAAACAAACCTCGAGCACTATCAGTACGTGTTTGTTGATTGTTATTATCACTAAATACAGCTGGTACTGTAGCAGATTGTTGTCTTCGTTGATCAACACTAGTCGATTTTGTTGTTAAATTTTCTTTATTAGTTTTTGTTGTTGCTGTTGTTGAAGTTGTTGTTTTACTAGTTACTTTTTTTGTTGGTTGTTTTGTATCTTTTGTCGAAGATTTTTTTTGTTTGTCTTCTTCTTGTATTTGAGCAGCAATAAATGCTTCCGGTTCTTCATCGTGATCAACAAATTGAAGAAAACGATTTCCTGTATTAATACCGTATTCAAAATCAAGCACCATTTTTTTTTATTTGTTTATTTTTATTGTCACAAATTCAAAAATTGCATCTAGAAAAATAGAAAAGAGAAAAAAGATGTTATTGTTTCTTTCTGATGACTAAATTTGTTGATCTTTGTTTTTGAAAAACGTACATGTTAAAAAAACGCGATGTGTGTCTTCGTAAAGTATCGATGACCGATAAAAGAAGAGGATGAGGAGGAGGAGGAGTATCGAAAGAAAGAGAAGATATCGGAAAGAATTTCGGTGCTTAGCAAAATCAAACGAACATCGTGAGAGAGGTTACTGAGTATTGAAATATTCATAAGATTTATAAATTAATTAGAAAAAAAATTTTCTAATGAAAAATTTTTAAAAGATTAAATAAGAATTAGCATGAAGAAAATTTTTTAAGTATTTTTCTAAATGCATTTTCTCAAGTGTTCTATGCATTTTAATGAAGTAATGATATGAGATGATTATGGTAGAACGGATATCCATAATTTACCATATTATTCAGAGAAAATTATTATCTTGTTTTAATGATTATCGAAATATGTTTGAGTAGTTCATTGATGATAGATATAATGTTTAGTAGCTGATAGATAGTTTGTTAATATTAATTTTATTTTCTTTTAAAACAACATGTAAGTTATAGATTTATTTATTTACTTAAGATTGATTAATGAAAATTGATTAATTTATTATCTTTTTAGTAATGTCGTTCAATGTGAAAACATCAAGTACGGCAGCACCAGCACGTACATCACAAAATGTTGGACCATATCTTTTACAAAAAACTTTAGGCAAAGGCCAGACAGGTATAGATATATATATTTATTTCAATATTTATTTATTTATTTTTTGTTATTATATTTTAGGACTTGTCAAATTAGGTGTTCATTATTTAACTGGAGAAAAAGTTGCTATTAAAATAGTTAATCGTGAAGCTTTATCTGAATCAGTATTGATGAAAGTAAACAAAAAATAATCATTCAAAAATTTTGTTTTTCTCATAAAAATAATTTTCTAGGTTGAACGAGAAATAGCTATTATGAAATTAATTGAACATCCACATGTCTTACGTTTATATGATGTATATGAAAGTCGAAAATATTTATATCTTATTCTTGAACATGTTGCTGGAGGTGAATTATTTGATTATCTTGTAAAAAAAGGTCGTTTAACACCAAAAGAAGCACGAAAATTTTTTCGACAAATTATATCAGCATTAGATTTTTGTCATAGTCATATGATTTGGTATGTTATAAATATTGTATTTACTCATTTTTTTAATTTTTTTTGTTACTCTATTTTAGTCATCGTGATTTAAAGTAATTAGCAAAAGGAAACTTAAAAAAACAACTTCAAAAATTTTTTAATATATTTCTAGACCGGAAAATTTATTACTTGATGATAAAATGAATATTCGTGTAGCTGATTTTGGTATGGCATCTCTACAAGTCGAAGGATCATTTTTAGAAACTAGTTGTGGTTCACCACATTATGGTAAGATCAATTTAAATCAAAAAAAAAATAATTTTCCTTTTTTTGCTTTATTTAGCTTGTCCAGAAGTGATTAAGGTAGATTTGTGGAATTTATTTGTCAAAAAAAAAACTATATCCTATTTTCAATTAGGGTGAAAAATATGATGGAAGAAAAGCCGATGTATGGTCATGTGGTGTTATTCTTTATGCCTTACTTGTGGTATGTATAGGAATTTATAAGTAAAACTAATTATCTTGTAACAAATTAGGGTGCATTACCATTTGATGATGATAATCTTCGACAATTACTTGAAAAAGTAAAAAAAGGTGTTTTTCATATTCCACATTTTGTTCCAGCTGATTGTCAACAATTATTACGTGGAATGATTGAAGTTGATCCAAATAAACGATTAACGGTAATGATTAGAAATAAAAGAAATAAATACTTTTTTTTTAGAATAAAAAAATTTTAAAATTTTTATTTTTCTTCTTGCGCTCATCATGCTCGCTTGCTTATAATTTGTTTTTTCTCTCTTTATTAATAAATGATTATCTACAGTTGGAAGATGTTAGTCGACATTCATGGGTTACACAGTACGTAAATAGTGAACATACACCTATTCATCGTCGTAATCGTATACCGATATCGTCTAATCGTTGTACTACACCATCAACATCAATAAAAAGAAAAAATCATCCTCCTACTTCTTCATCTATGTTCGTGAAATGTTATTGTTTTTATGTTTGCTTGCTAATTTGTTGTTATTTGTTTCAAGCATGTTTCCTGGTTTCCCTTTTGTTTTCTTCCCGTAGTAATAACAATTGGTGTCGAAAAAAAAAATACTACAACAACTTGTTTGCTTGCTTGCTTACTTGCATGAAAACATATTGGTTTTATGTGTTTTTTTGTTGTTATATAAAGAAAGAATTTCATATTTTAACCTGTTTTTTCCTATGTTATTCAGAGGAACAAAAGCTGAACTTGAATTGGAATTACCGATGGTACAAGTTGTTCAAGTATTAAAAAATTTGAGATAAAAATTTTGTTCGATGAATTTTTTTGTTTTTATTAGACAACGATTATTCCGAGTGAAGCGGATATTGATGCAGATGTATTTGCAGCAATGACATCATTAGGTTGTTTTAAAGATCGACAACGTTTAATTGAAGCATTATTAAATTCAAAGTAAATAAACAAATAAATCGATTAACAAATAATCATCATATTTGTTTTTGTTTTTCATTAGACATAATACAGAAAAAGTTATTTATTTTCTTTTACTTGATCGTAAAATGCGTCAACCAAGTTACGAAGATGTAGAAGATGCAAAACAACGAAGTCGTTCTGGTTCACGTAAAAACAAAATAATTTTCTTATGTTATTATTATGATTTTTCTTATAGCGGATGTTCCACAAAAACGTGTTGATCGTCATCGGTCAAATGGAACAAATATTGGACAAAGTCCAAATCCTAATGCATATCGACCAGGTATTATTGGTCAACTGGCTGAAGGTTCACCATTAGTACCAAGACGACAACTTTATTCAACAAATATTAGGTAACAAATCCAACTGAGAGCTAATTAGTCTTGAGTTACTGATATAATATTCTTCTTCGTCTATCATTAAACGTGCCTATAGGCATACTTGACTGGAAAAATATATATTCAAACTGAGAGCTTAATAAAAACAAATGTATTATCTCTTCTTTTTATCTTTTTAGTAATAAAACAATATCAGCTAATAATACACCATCTGTTAGTCCATGTTCATCACCAACAGTAATAAAAAAAGATGTTTTTGCAAAGATCACAGCATTTACAGGTGTTAAATCAACTGTGGATGTTCCAACATCACAACCAATATCATCTTCAACTCAAGTAACACATATACATCGTCATCATCGAAATACATCGACTGTATCACAAAATGAAAATATTCTTACAACACAACCTTCAACACAATCAATGTCTATTACAAGTGATCAATCCTATTCATCTGTTAATACAGAAACAACTAATAATAATGGTACAGCAACGTATCATCCATCACGACGACATCATCCACCACCACCACTACCACCACCACCGCCTCAAACATCCGAACCAATAAATATGGAATTATCACCATCGGTGATTTCAAACAATAATAATAACAATAATAATTCACTTTTATATACACCACCACCAAATCAAGCAAATACTCCTCAAACACCTAATAATAATCAATGGAGACATAAATTAAATAATTTGAAACAAAGTTTTCAAAGTGTTGGTACACCTCGATTTCATCGACGACCCAAAGTTTTATGTAAGTTTAAAATTTTCAGGACCGAAAGAAACAATTTTTTCTTCTTCTTTTTCTAGTAACTGAAAGTGATAGTACGAATACATCTAATTCGTCAACACAATATGGTACAACACCAGAAGCAACGAAAAAATCTTTATTTCATCATATTATTGATGCAATGCAAGAAGATCATCATATGATTGTTGTTAAAGATCGACCATTAGCAGCTATTAAAACTGATCTTATTCATGCCTTTTTATCGGTAAACTTAATAAAAAAAATTCTTCATTTCTTTTTTATTAAATTTTATTCTATTATTAGACTCCTGATCTAGTACATAATGTTTTATCGGGTACACAATATCGATGTGAATATCGTCGACCAGATCGTTCATCAATGTTTCAACGAAATATACGTTTTCATGTAGAAATTTGTACAGTTAAATCAATTGATTCATCATCGTCTGATTCTTATTATGTTACATTTACACTTATTACAGGTAAGAAAATTAATAAATAAAATGACAAGACATGATTTTTCCTTCTTTCTAGGACAAGCACGACGTTTTAAAAAATTATGTGAAGAAATTCAAGCATTATTTTTAACAAGTAAAGAACGTCTAGCAAAACAACGACGACCACAACCACCACCACCTCAACAACAACAACCACAACAACAACAACAAATAAATGAAAATCGATCGATAACCGGTGGTAGTAATACAAGTAATAGTAGTGTTAGTTTTACAACTAATATAACTGCAACAAATTCTCTTCCATCAAATCCAAATACACCAATGACACCTCGATCGAATGCTTCATTTATTTCATCATTATTTGGTAATACAAATTCAACATGTAAGTATCACTAATTTCTTTGCCTGACACATTTCCCTCGATGCCTTTAGTTTAATTCTTATCACAGATTTCTATCTTATCCCTAGAGTATAAATTGATATCATGTTCTAGTTTGTTTCATCCAGACAAGAAAAACTAGATTGTTCTGATTTTCCAGAGTTTGTCATATAATTATATACAATTAATTTAATTCAAGGACAAGATAATAGCTTGAAGAGTTTATAGACTCAATTATATTCATATGAAATAAATCTTTAACTTATATTATTGAGAATTCATTCCTATTTCGAACGAAGAATACATAATAACTATATTTATATAATAGTTAGGTTTTTAGTAAAATATATTTTTTGTTATCTATAATTTAGATGTAAAACCACCCAATGTCACATCACCTCCACAACAACAACAACAGCAACAACAACAACAATCTTCTTCTTCATCTATTTCATCTCTTTCATCAACATCCAATGTTTCTTTAACAAATCCACCATCAGCAGTAAATTCTGCTGGTTCACCTTATTCAGTAACATCGTCAATAAATGACGAATCAACAGTTGAATCTACTCGTTTGAAACTTGCTCATCGTCTTGCTATCTAGTCATTTCTCATTCTTTCTTTTTTTCATGCTTGTTGTTGTATGTATGCGTGTGTGTATTTCATCAATATGTATATGTATCGTTTTTCTTTTTCTTTTTTTCGTGCAATCTGTCCTTTCTCATTCCATCGACATCTATTACTGATTATTTGTTTCCCTCTTGAAAAAAAAAATTCATTCTCTTATGTTGTTCAGTCCATATTGAAAAATTAACTCATATAAAAATTGATCTCTAGTCAAAAACTAAAAAATATATAGTCTTACATTTTGTTTTCTTTTTTTCTTTTCTTTTCTTTTCTTTTTGTCCTTTATGGCGATGATACACACCGCTTGTCTTCCGTCTCGTCGTCGAAAAACACAAAAAATAAAAATATTCCCCTTGTTCATTTTTAATCCATATATATATATATATATCTATACATACATATTCTGAAAAACCAAATCAAGTTCTCATTCAGAAACGTCCAAATTATTTCATTTATTGTTCGTGCATTTGTCATACTTCTATTCATTATATATTTGTGCGTGTGCGTGTGTGTGTGTGTGTGTGTGCATGAACTGTAATTTTATGAGCGCACCTTCTTCATTTTTTTTTTCTTCTTTCACTTGTATCTTATAAAACAAAAATAGAACGTGACGAAAAAACGACTATAAAAGAGAAGAAAAATAAACGAACATAATAAAGGATTTTGACATGTATGCTTATTGTCATATGAAGATCCGATGTTTATTGAAGAAAAGCACATCGTTTCTTGATAAAATAATGACATCCGTTATTATCTATAATCCATATATATATAGATAGTGATAACATGACATTGTTAAAGATGGAAGTCTTTAATTAAAATAATGAAAGAAAATGATCGAAAAAATAACGATTATTATGACGTTTGAAATTATAATTATTAATATAAAAAAAAATATGTCAATCAAAAATAATACAAAAGATAGAATATTGCTGTATTAGAGAATTGAAATGAATAGGAAATTAGATGTTAGAAAGATAGAATGTCTCGTCTTTCAAAATGAGGAAATAATAGAAATAGTACTTGAATATATCAAAAGGAAATTGTTGAATGTAGTTTTTCTTTCTAATGATGTTTGATTCTGTTGGTTAATACATATAAGTGAGCCAAAAAGACAAAATTTTATTGTTTGAACGAGATAATTTGTTTTTCTTTGCTAAGAAAATTTTAATGATATATATGTCTATGCGACTAGTATATTATTTCAGTCTTATCTGTACCAATGTGAATAATAATTAGCTTTTTAATTGCATCACTAATGTTAATATTTATGATCTTATTAGAAGAAATATATTTGCATTCAGGCGGAAAAATCATTACTCTACTATCATAAAAATAAAGTAATAAGAAAGTTTTATTTTTTATGACAGTTTTTCCATTGATTAGTCATTGGGAAAATCTTATTATTAAATACGAAAAAAAGGAATATACGATCCATTCTATGTTTAGATTGTGTATTCAGATTATATACTTGCATAGTTTTTCAAGATAAATAGCAACAAGAAAATTGATATACTGATATCAAAGATCATTAACTAAATAAATATCCAAAAGAATCATTTCAATAACATAGTCGGATCTAATTCCATTGGAGTTTTTATATGATCAGTAAAATTCTGGCAAAAATTTCGTGACAAATTGATATTAGAATTCATAATAATGTTGAAATTTAATCGAATGTTAACCTAAGATGAGATAGCAATTAGATCTCAGTTAATAAAGTTGAAATCAACTGATCAATTCAGTATTTGTTTGATTCCCCTAAGTACCATTGCTCAGTCAAACACTGACATATAATCCTTGACAAATTATGTCTCCTGTGTCCGTTTATTATATTGATCAACGAAAAACTATTGACGTGTACATACATGTATCTCTACTCGTTTTATCACTTTTTCGAGATAGATACTAAAATAATTGAAAAAGCGCATATCGGTAATAAAAATCTTCGAAAGAAGTATTTTGTAGAAAATACTAAAAAAAGATGTAATTTATTTCTCCTTCAAATTCAACTGATCTTCATATGATCTGTTTAAAAATAAGAACTATCCAAACGAAAAGAAAAGGAATGGAATTGTACAGATAACAACTCATTTCCAGCGTAAAATTTTAAATTATACATCATTATTTAATAATATCTTAAAGAAACTCCTATAAATGTTTATGTTAATAAAGAAGTAGCCAACTCTATGTTTCGAAATAATTTCATTGGAGTTTGAGATGCTTGTAGCAGTCGTATAGTCAGTACAGGCAAAACTTGTTTTTATGGTTATCATCTGAAGATACAAATTGACCTCAATAAATGTATTAGTTGATTTCGTTGATTCTATTAATTCTAGTAAGCTAGAGTCAGCTGTTTCGTCTTATATAATATACATGATGATTATCGTTGTTTTTAATGTGCTGCAATGTATTTTCTGACTAAATGAAAATAGTCATAGAGATTGCATTTTAGAATATCATTTCTAAAATAAAACTGTTTTAACTTATTTATTAATATTCAACTCGAAATCGAACCGTTAGTGAGCTTCGAAAATCTATCTTTAGCAAAATAAAAAACATGTGTAAGGTGTTCTAAAACTCTATAACAAAAGAAACTTAACTAATGAACTTTTTTCAGATGATAGATATTTGTGTGGAAGCCTGTTTTTACGCAGATAAACTTTCCAAATACCGTCCAAAGTTATAGCATTCGAGTAAAATATCAGCATCAGTTCTTACATTTTTTGAAACTTTCATATTGGTTACATCTCGCACTATCGTTTATATGTACCGATTGTTATATATTAGTACAAAGATTGATCATAGGAGCTTTAAGTTCTCGACATTCAATGCTATTAGATTTAGCTTACACTCATATATCACAACCAATGGATATAAATAGCTTTGAACAGTATTTGAAAAACCTTGTACATTCAATGTAAGTATTGTGAATTCTATTCATTCATATTACCTACTTGTTTAGTTTTGAATAATAGCAATAACAAGACACTGAATTTCACTCGTTTATTTAATAATTTTTCATATCCACAAGAAAAAGAACATACAATAATAGTTTTTTTTAGTTTTGCTTTTCCGGTGGATTTCTGAGTATACACACACGCACACACATACATATACAAGAAGAAGAAAAAGACGAATTATCTCGCGCACGAAAAAGAAAAACTGGAATAGCACCAGTAACAATTAAATCAAAGAAGAAAAAAAAAGACATGAATATATGACAAACGAGATTTTTTATAGAATACACTCGTGTTGTGTTTTATTTGAATATAAGAATATTGCAAAAATTTTAGAAAAACCACAATAACAACAACAAGAGTAAAGAAAAAACAGTTCAATTCAGAACACTGTTCGCATAAAAATTTTAAATATTTTCTTTTTTCCTATTTATCTTATCCGAGAGTAAAAAAGCTATTAGTTTTTGATCTTATTTGTTTGGTAAAAGATATAATTAACATCACTATTGCACCATATGGTTGTTAAGAAAAAGTATTCGGAAAAACTCGATATTGACTTCGTGTTCTCAATTCCGTTCAAATTAACTAAAGCTACTACTGTTCAGTCTATAAAGTAAAACAGAGAGAGCAGACGGAATGTGTAGCTAAGAAAGACGAGTGACTAGGACTAATCTCATGTATTACAAAGGGGGGTATAAATACATAAACAGAAGAATGAAAAAAAATTGATACACCGGATATTATCTCTTTTCTATACCTATTTTTCTTCACTCTATGTTTGTTATATATTTTACTAGTTCCTTGTGCATAAAAATGCACTCAAATTATTTGCTTTACTCTCTCTCTCTCTCTCTCTTCTCTGGGAAAATACAAATCAATAAAATCAATTTTAGAAAAGAAACAAAAAAAAATAAACAAACAAACATTATTCTTGTTTTTATCAAGAAGTTAAAGAAACAAAACAAGAAGAAGAAATAGTGATAAATAAACATAAGTAAAAAAAAGAAGAAGAAGAAGAAAAGTCTTAACTGTTGATTATAGATCGCTTATTATTCATCCACACATAATAATACATTTATGTGGGTATGTACTTGATAATTTCTCATCACAAACTGGAAACAACGAATAAAGAAGAAAAACAAAAATTCAAGAAACAGAAAGATATATATGTATGAAGAAAGACAAATGTGTTTTCGAAAATGAAATAACAAGACATACATACTTGCTTGTTAGAAGATATAGAAAAAAGAAAAAGAAGAAAAGAAGAAAAACATGGCTAATTATGGATGATGCTTGTATTAAAGTTAGTAGTATTTTAACACCAATTATTGTTACAATTAAATCATACAATTTCTCAATACAATTCACATTCATTTATAGTACAAATTCTTTTTTTTCAAAATAGCTTCTTTACACATAATTATATTGTGTTTTCATAAAATCTAAAAAAAAGATTTTTTTTATAAAGAAACAAAAATCTTGTTGATAAATTACGTTGTACTAAATTTTTTAATTTTGCATTGAGGATTTATACCACACGATGATTTAAATTCTCGGTGGCAAATGTGAAGCATATCCAGTAACTAAAAAACAAGAAAATTATGTATAAAAATTTATCGAAATTCCAAAAAAAGAGAAATACTTCATGTGTGAGCATTATGCAACATGCATTAGATAAACACACATATCAGTAAGAAAGAAACATGCATTAATAAAAAAAACATAGGAGAGAAAAATAATAATAACATGTAATACGGTGTCGGAATGGTGAAAAAAAAGAACTAGATTTTATCTCCTAAGGATTTGTACGTACTTTTCATTTGATTTTGAGCTGAATAAATAGCAAAAAACGAATAAAAATAATCAACATATGCAAAACAATTATTTCCTATGTTTAATATGCATATCTTTCAATTAATATAGGTTATATAAGATGAACTCATAGATAGAAGAGAGTACCCTGAGTGATAATTATTTTCGGTAATATTAAATTTTATATATATATATATATGAAGGGATTCAAGCGTTCGTTCAGACGAAATGTTCTCATGCTTGACAAAACAAAAAAGAAAGAATGTACTGGTTGACTTACAAGCCATAGGAACAGCAGTTAAATATTGTTGTTGAAATTGTATTGGTAGCGGTGATGGTGATTGATAAGAAAATGCTGTCATTGGATAAGCAGCCATTGGTATACCAGTTTTAGGATCAGCTACAGCTGAACGTTTTTGATGTTGTGCAGCTATAGCTGTTTGTTGTTGTTGTTGCATATATTGTGGTGCAGCAATAAGTTGTGCACCAGGTGGCTAGAAATATTTAAATTAATATCATTTTCATTAAATGTTTATAGAATATAAAAAAAAGGAAAAGAATTATTTATTCATCTATTTCTTTGCTTTGCTTATTTTAATAAAGCATTTTGTTTTTTTGAAACTGATTAAACCATTAGAAAAAAAAGCAATAAAGCTAGCAAAAGGTTATCTGAAAAGCAGATTATAGAATTCAATCAGTTTTAAACATACAAAGCAAATTAAATAAATAAATAAATAAATCAAATTAAAGAATAAAAGAAGCATATGTGCAATACCAGCTGTAGGTAGGCACCGGTAGTAGCAGTATCGTCTTCAAGCGGTCGTTTTTTCGTCTGCTGTGTGATGCTGCTGCTGCTGACAGGATCGATCACTGCCTAGATTAGTAGAAAAGAGGAATAGAGAAAAGATCGTGTATGCAACAAGCAAATACAAACAAAAGAATAAAAACAACAATAAACAAACAATAAGCCTGAGAATTTAGTTTTTCTCTCCTTTCTTTTCTTTTTTTTTGGTTTGATATAACGACTAGGTATATAGGTTGAACTATGATATAAGTTCTATTACGTGCATTGATCGTTTTCAATTCCTTTTTCTTTATAAAACTTCATAAGCTGTAAGCACGCACGTTGTTGTTTTCTAAAAAAGATATTCGTGCGATGGACTAACAACGAATAGTCTGTTGTTTAATAAAGCATGATATCATTACGTTCACAGAAGGCAACGGCAGAAAAGAAAAAAAAAACAAGGCTACTGCTTGCTGCACAATAATAATTTTTTGTTTTAATAAATTTCAAATATCTGTAAAGACAATTATTATTTCAACCAACCTTTATATCATTTGTTGATGATGATGATGATCCATCATTATTTGAAATATTACTTGATGTCACTAATGATGACTAGAAGAATATTTTTATCTTATAGATAAATTAACGATGTAATCAATTTGTTTTAACTTACATCTTTTAAATCAACAGATGGTGCTTGTGTATAAATTGTTTGAATTTGTCCTGGATATGGTTGATAAGATGGAATATAACCATTTGTATATGCACCATCATCTTCCGATTGATTTTGTTGTTGCTAAAACAAAACCAACGATTAAAAATATCGATTTATTATTTAATTTATATAATTAATAATAAATTTTCAAAAAAAAAATCAAAATCAATTTTCAAGCAATATTAAAGCTATATATGCAAAGATACAAAAGCATACCAATGGCGAAGAAGAAGCGGGTGCAATAGATGCTTGCTGAGGATAGACATATGTAGTAGGTGGTGCGGACAATATCTGTTGACTACTATTCAATGAAAGTGGATGAACCAATTGAATAGTAGATGGTGAATATTGTAGTGCAGCCGCTGCTGAATAAACTTGTGCAGCAGCTGCAGCTGATTGTGCTTTAACAGCTTTCAATTGTGCAACAAGATGATCAGGTGGATGGAAATATTTGCATGTTTCACGAGCACATTTTCCTTTAACATAATCAACACAGACAGTAACAAGACCATCTGCGTCAAGTGGACAATGTGCTTGTGGATGCGCATAGGGACATATATCTGCAGAATACAAACACTGTCCATGCTGAAAATCAGTGCATACCTATAAATAAAATCAATACAAGCTAGAATACAACAAAGCGCATAAACATGCGAACCAATATTTTTAAAAGAAAATAAATAAACTATAGAAGCAAGCAATAAGCAAACAAGATAAAGAAACTAGTCGTGTAAGGCATATATAGATACTAAGCACAAAGAAAACAACAATATAAGTGTGTACAAACAAAACACAAAGATGTTAAAGAATATATATATATATATGTGCAAGAGATAGTGACCATGACTACTATTCGAAAGAATAAGCTGGCCTCGATTAACTTCACAAAATTTTTAACGAACTTATCACTTACATAGAGCGTATCAAGTTCAAGGTAAGACTAAATGGGATACACATCAATTTATTAAAAGAAGAAAAAAAAAGATGTGAATGAAGAAGAAATAGAAATAATGAGGTATATATGATGAGGTCAAAAAGGCAAGCATATAAATGTCAAATACAGATCTTCTACGTTTAGAACAATATGACAAACCTGTGCAAGATCATGATTGGAATTATTATTATGATTATTATTATTATTCGAGTAAATCTAGAGAATTGAAAGTTTTGTTTGATATTTTTTTTGTCTATCACCCATAACCAGAATTTGGGAAAGAAATCGAGCAGCAGAATAAACAAGAATAAAGCTGCACGAGAACGCGCAACGTGAATAGGAATATTTAAATGTGTAGAATATGTACATATATGTATATATATATATATATGAGCGAAATGCATGCTCCCAATTTTTGGTTGGTTTATTTTTTTTTATGATAATAAAGAGCAGCAACAATGGCGGTACGAATATGGCTCAGAGCAGATTAGTGAATAAAATAGAGCTCAAAAATTCAAAAAGAAAATGGCAGGGAAGATTGCCGAGTGGCTGGCTGGCTGGCTGCTGCTCGATATAGACTCTTTATTTATGTTTTTTTTCTGTACTAGCTGCTTCAGCGTGCAGATGCAGCGATTATATAAATATAGATTGGCGCGTCTGGCTGCTAGATAGACATTAACATATCTCACTTACCACTGTTTTAATAAAGAGGATTTAAAAGAAACAGTGGGAATAATAAGAAAAAAACAATAATTTTTTTTTAAAGTGAAAACATACTTCAAGACGATCAGTACGGGTTATTTTGGGTCCAGTTGGTTGAGCAGTTAATTGTGTTACCGGTTGAAAATATTGTGTACCATCTGAACTATACATAGCTGCAGTAGCTGTAGCTTGAGAAAGTTGTTGTAAATGAGCTGCATTAAAAGGAATGCTAAAAGCTTGACCAGCTGAATTGAATAATAAAGTTGATTGACCTGGACCATTTGGACCAAGATGAGGATAGGACGCCTAAGAAGAAGAAAAATGAATTTCTATGAAACAAAAAACAATAAAATTATTATTTACCATTGATTGAGGTTGTTGTAAAGGACTTTGAATAATAGCACCGTTAGGATATGGCAAATGAGTTGCCGTTTGTGGATAAATAGCTTGATTAGCAGCGATATTCATAGCTATAAACAAGAAAAGGTATAATTATGAAAAATTATTGATATAAAACAAATTTTACCAATACTACGTAGAATAAGATTGTTACGTCCGTTTTGAAGTAGAATGTCACGTAAATGTTGTGGTGGATGAAGATATTTACACGGTGGATTGGTACGATTGCATTTACCCTATTTTAAAAAAAAAAAGATGAAAATGTTACATTGAAACAGTTGAATTTCTTTTTGTATAAGATGATTATGATAAAATATATAGATAAAATAAAAGCATACAGAATTTTTCGTCGGCTGTGGATTGTTGCTACTCATTGTCAACACTCTTACGATAGAAATAAAAGGAATCTGTATATATCTATATGTTTTAGATAAGAAAAAATTCTTCTTTTTTTTCTTTTTTTTGCTAACTTACATACTCAAGACTCATCTCGTATCCTCTCCTTCTTCTTTTTTTTCACTTAGTTTTGACTCATCATGATAATGATCTAGCAAGGTGTATCTTTCTGTTCGCCTATTTTATTTTATATAACTGATATTAAGCCTTTACTTTGTCACTCATCCATTCGTTCGTTCGTTCGTATATGTAACATAAAAATGAGTAAACGTTGACTTTTAAATCATCTCTTACTTCGTTCTTTCTCTATGTGTGCATATACATCTATATGTATATCATATCTATCGTATGTTAAAGGTCGTTATTTTTCAACGATATTCAACTTTCACATGAGTAAATGAAAGTAAGAGATAAACAAAATAAACAATCAATGGTCGACCTGTCGTCGTCTTTTCTTCTTTGATTTTAATCATTATAACTTGACAATAAGATAGATGTCCTTATGTTAAAACTAACTCTAAAACAATCCTTCTGATAAAATATTATTCATATAATTATACACCTGTTTAATAAATTAAAGATATTTAATATTCGAAAATTTGTACAAACCTTAAGCGAATCAAAACAAGCAATAACTTTGCCACTATTAACTTCAACATGTGTCGGTGGATGGGCAAATTTACATTCTTGTTCCGATCGAGTACATTTTCCACGTTG